TTAAGAACATTTTTCTGTGCCTGACTTTTCATCAATAGTTCTTGAATGAACTGTTTCTATTTTGAACAAACTGCTAGAGATGGTTGACGATCCTTTTTCATCGATGCTCTCTATTAGTTTCATGATACATTTTAAGCACTTTTTTCTCTGCCTGACTTTTCATCCATTGTTCTTAAATAAACTTTTTCTATGTTGAAGGAGGCTGTGGGTTTATGTAGATTTTACTGTGTGTATCGGGTGGGTGTGGGTTTGAGTATGGGTATGGTGTGAGTGGCATGGTCTTCTCTGACCCACACTCAGAGTCAGTCACTCTCAACTAATGAATAATTGTTACTTATTTAGAATATATTATTCAATGATTATAGTATGAATATGTAACGTATTGGAAGTGGATGATAGTGAGGGTGTAGGTAAGAGATTGATATAACGTTCAGGTTTTGGCAACAATCTGCATTGTGTAACTTACGGTTAGAATGTAAGACGACTAAAGAGATTTGAATGTTTTGCAAGAAATTACTTGATTCAACAAACAATGAGAAACTCACGCGTTGCAACATAAAAATGTATATTCTCAAGAATAAAATAAGGTTCTTTTTTTATCGGACAAAACAAATGTTAATCAACATTAATGCTTTCAAACTTGTTTGGCTTTAGAAGAAAAGAAAACTATTTAAATAAGTTAAAATATGCAATTTTACATGTAAAAAAAATTCATTTTCTATTTATTCGATACCGCATTAAGCGGGAGACAAGAAAATAATCATGAATTTTTATTCTATACTCATATTTTCTACTATCATTGAACGTAGATGTATGGATGTAGATATGGAATGCACTTTATATTGTAATCTACATTCCTAAACGTTTTACTAGCAAGGTCACAGTTCGAGCTGATGAGCAATAAGGATCTCGTAGATTGTTCAAATGTGAATAATCTATTTATTTCACAATAATATTTCCATGCATAATTTTAGAAATGTTAAGGGTGTGGGTGGGTGATGTGTGTTACAAGAAGATACACGCCTGCCTATACCCATACCCGCAAATGTCGGCATACCATTGCATTTTTCAATCCCAAAACTCTCTTAATATATATGTGTTAGATGTAATCTGATTATTACAACATCTATCGAGAGGCATGAAATCTTATTTCTGAAATATATCATAGAAATCGCTTAAATCACTAAACCAAAAGCGCCCAATGTCAACCCTTCACAACTGAACCGCACTCTACACTTTTGGGACAGTTGCCCATCGAAATATATCGTTTGATTTTCTCTGAATCTTCTTTTTATATACCTATCCATCCACACGCGCACCTTCATCTGTCGGTGATCGCATGAGTGCGCATGTGTTACTAGATTTTTTTTATGAGTTTTACTTTTTTTTATTATTTTATGAATAAATAATTGACAATGTTCTCATTCTCGTAGAAGAGTCTTGCAAAAATAAATTGTTTGCTTGCTTGCTTGCTTGCTTTTTTCCGCACTTCACGGATTGGTCGAAAACGGATGGAACAACAAAATGATGTGGAAAGCTGGAACTTACTACCATTTGAATATGTGAGTAGGAATGGTTGAGGGTGTGTGTAAAGAGAGTAAAATCGAGGTGATGCAAACCAAAACAAATCGAATTTTCGGGAAAAAGAGTTTTTGAAGATATTTCAATGATGAGAAGTTATATAAGACTTGTTTTGGGTCAGACAACTGATATGCAGGAAGAGACATGCCATTTAATAGAGATCGACCCTTTCAATTAATTATTGATAGTGAAGAAAATATATTTCTACGAGAAAGAGTTAAGCGAGTACACAGACGAGTATAATGACTGGTTATATTATGGATAAATAATTGACAGTAAGCATGTGTATTCTGTTATGTAAACATAAGCGAGTTTAAGTTTGGAACGGACGTACTTGATTTGCTGTTTTTTGTTTGTATCTTTGAACTAATTTGTATATTGAAGAGACGAAAAAGGGAACGATAAGTTTGAGAAAAGTTGTTAGTCCTCCATAAAGGCCCAGCAACGTGGTGACAACAAAGATTAAACTATTTCGTTTGATAAGCGTGACGAAACATGAAAGGGGGCGACACTGTTCGAAAAATTGTTTATAGGATACATTTGATGACCATGTTTCGATAAACATTTCTTGAACGATTGAGTCAACAGTGTCATTTGAAGAAAAACGAGTTTCATCCTGGTTCAACGGTGCAGGTACAGGCAGAGACAGATTCAAGTAAACATTGAGAAGGCTGACGCAAGCCTGTATGTACATGCATTCAATTGAACTTTGAAGAAGTGCTTCGAGTGGAGTACATCCAACACGATATCCTTGAATGAAAGGGACCGATGGTTGACTGCAAGTTGCAGAGGTTAAACAATTACAGCCGTTGTAATATTGTGGTTTCATATAAACGGTTGACCCGTAATACAAATTGTGCACGAAAGGATACCAGTTTGTCGAATAGAGAGACACATATGCATTGCTTTGTATTATACCACGAATCAATTGAAGGTTATTTAAGTAATTACCGGAAAATGTCGATTTAAACTGAACCAATGATATATTTATTTGTTTGTCAAATAGATTGTAATCGATTAATGATACAGAGATAAAGGATGTAGTGAGATAATTTTGCAGGGCATAATTGATAGTATTCTTGGCAAGATTGCACAGAGAGAGAAGAGCTTGAAAATGAGAAAAGATTGTGCCTTGGAGTGTGAATGCATTTGCTGTTGCATATTGTGTGTCTAATGAATTGTAGACTAGAAAGAGTTGTTGTATATATGTAGAAGAGATGAATTCACTCGTGCACACTGGGTGAAGATCATATTCTAGATCAATAAATGATGAATATGAGATAGATAATTGAGAACATGGACAATTGATAGCATCCACAGTATATTGTTGTTCCAAGTGTTGATATTGTTCCAAAGATGGGTTCATCACTGTGAATGTTGTCGTAGAATAGACCAGCCAATTGTAAACCAGTAGAATAAATACTGCAGCAGAAAGAAGAATAAAGTAGACGTACGTTGTTCGCTTTTGTTGTTTAACATGAGCGAGTGTGTTTTTATTTGGATCGTCGAATACATTTAGTTCTTGTAACCAATGTCGAATTCGAGTGACCAGTATCAAGAGTCGATTCAGGAAAGGAACTAGAAAAAAATCGTCGTTTAAATTGACTATTTTAGTGAATAAAAGCATATTTACTTACTCGGTTCAGTAGCTGCACGTTGACGTCCTCGTCGAGAAATAAAAGCGAAACAAGCCGTCATAACGAAGGGAACCAAGATGCGCAGAGAGACAGCAACTCCACCGAGAAGACCAAAAATAGTTGTGATTGTTTGCAGTAAACTATTATGCATTGCAATTTTATATGAACATGATGCTGGTTGACATTGATTAAAATAGGATGAATAACTCAACATTTGACTCCAGTTTTCAATAAAAAGTTCCGAAAGTAAAGTATTCACTGAACTGTTTATCAAAAATCGACTAGGTAGAGAAGAATTGAGTCGATCAGAATATTGAAACCAATTTACATTATAAAAGTTAAATATCATAGTCAGACAGTCTTGATTATCATATAAACATTCCAGTGTTGAATAGAGCAGTGATTCAAGAGGAAAGCAAGCCATGTACATGCCAGGTACTAGGAATTTAGGAGTTACAAAGTACTTTCTATTGTATAAGCCTACGTTTATTTTACAATTGATATCATTTGCACATGAACATGTATACGATGAATTGCCACTTCCGCCGCTATAACTGTTAGCACTAAAAGTAGCAGCACTCATAGGTGAGCCGATTACAGTGTAGCGAACATTATTTCTAAAAGCAAAGATTTGATTGACGTAAGTGATATTACGCATAAGTTGAAAAAAGCTTAGAAACTTAATTGCTAATCCCGACTGAAACTGTTCGATAATGGAGTTCATTTGATAATCAAAAATATCTACGGAGAGAAGATCACTTGTAACCAGTTGCGTTTGTTCGAATCTTTCGAGTGAACTGAAAATCGTCCGCTTCGTTAGCTCGCACAAATTTTGTAAAAAGAAGAATAATTGATAAGTGTAACGAAAATCACTCGCCTCACCAAGAGGAGAGATTTGTATTAAAGCACGCACGATCCACTGCCATGCATATGATGCGAAGAGACTTGAGCATACTTGATGATAGGATGGTTGAAGTTGTACAAGTTGTCCATAGGGAGTGTTGATTCGTGTACATGGACATTGAAGAGAAGAATTCAATTCGCTCTGTGATCTTAAGTAGAGTACAGTCTCAAGCGATGGATTGTTTACTTTAACCGATTTTATTTGAACACTTAACATTGAATAAAACATGAGAATAATCATTGCAAGAACGAGACATAGAATGAAGATTCGTGTTGTCCATCGTTGTTGTTTGATATCAGATGGTTCCTGCCGAGCTGAGGATTTGAACATATTTAATTCGACAAGTGAACGCCATAATAATTGAATTATTGTATGTATTCGTTGCCACCACGAAGTTCTCACTTCTATCACTCCTATTTAGAATAAATACTTTGAAATTAAAGAGAAGAAAAACGGATTTTGTGAATGATAATAACATGAAAATGCTAGATGTTAGTGTGTGTAAAGAGTCCTAAGATACTGGCTGAGTATTGGAACAATATTTTATTCCCCTTTTTAATCGAATCAGTTGGTGCAACATATCAAAGACACATTAACAAATTTCACTTGCGGATTAAAGTTTAGAAGTTGACTGAAAACTGGTGTTTGCCTATCAGTGTAAAGAAATATTGTGAAATTTTTTCTCTCTCATTTATTGCAAAAAAATAGTTGATTTGCAGTTTATACTAGTAAATTGCCGATGTGACACTGAATTCTCACTATTCTTTCAGTAAAGGTTTATGTTAGTAGCCACTGTTAAGCACACGGATGAAAAGAATGATCGGAACCAAATAGGAAGCTCATTTATGTCTTCGAAAAGAATTTTATTGAGGCCATAGGCTCAACTTTGCAATCAATATTGGGTAAATTTGAAACAAATTATTGATTTTTATAAATAAAGATCGTTAGACTATAATGATATATTTTCAACGAATGTTATTAATATTGATAGAAGCTAGAGTCAAACTTACCGATATCGACAGGTGTCCCGATTTGATGTCCCAAGCGTTTGAGTAAGAAGACAACTACATATGGAATAAAAAATCGAAGAGCGACTGATAGACCACCATAGACAGAAAGAAGAAAAGTAAATATGTAGAGAAAACTCAAATGTTGCTTCTTCGTGTAAAAGCATGATTGTGGTCGACATTGTGCAAAATAAGAAGAATAGTTCATCTCAGTCAACAAATCTTCAACGAATAAGTTCTGAACGAGATCTGTAAAAGTGCGACTTGTTTGATTTGCCTGTTTTGATACATTCAGATTCAGAACGGCCGGAAAAGTCGAATTGGTCGTCCATTTAGAGTACTCAGCAATCAGTTGAAGGGCAGCTTTATTGTACAAAAAACTGTCCTCTACTGATGAGAGAAGAAGTGATCCCAAGGCCGAACAACCCACATACCAATTACTCATTGCAATTGGTACTGTTATCAAACTAGGCCAATAAGCAACTATTCTTTGAGTATCGACTAAGGTATCACTGTAAAAGGCTGCCATCACTGCACAATTGTCACTGGTATCGCAAGGGCAATCACTGCGAAAGCCTGGTATATAGTCAGTGAATAAATAAGCAAGTTCAGGTATATCATTCTGCGGATAATAACCTATTATACCTGTTGTTTCAATTCCAGATATCATTGCATTGCCCACCATAACCGCGCGAATAAATCGAAACGACTGCTGGAAATCTCCAAAAGTGCTACTTTTAAACGTATCGATGACGGCTTCAGTATCAATACGCAGTAGGTTTTCTCTCATCAAATAGCCTGAAATAAGTTCTGTATCATAAAATGACTCAATATTGTTGGATAAAACAGTTTTTGATCGATTACACAATTCTCGTAATACTTGAAATTGTAGACTTGCCTGACAACGGAAGTCTCCTGTGTAGCGGGTGGCTGTCATATTATCAACGAGTAACTCGATCCATGTTTGCGAGATAAAATCACTGGAACAAACCGCGTGGTAGATGGGACTTAATTGCACGAATGAACCATATGAAACAGAGATTTGAGAGCACAAACACTTAATATCATCGTAAAGATTCTGCAATTGTAGATAGAATTCTAGAGAAGGATTTTGTACTTCTATCGATATTGTTTCCACATGCAATCCATTGTAGATTAATAGAATTGACATGGATACGAGAAGAAGGCAAATGTAGACACGCGTAGACCAACGCTGAACGTAGACTGCCTCTCTATCCACACGGTCTGTTTCGAATAAATTATATTCGACAAAAAATCTTCCAATACGACGAAGGCGACCAACATTCTCCCTTTCCTCCATCGAAGTGAGCTTATTTACATCTAAAATGCAAAGTCAACAAGTTTCTCTTCTCATACAGCAAATATTGATCATCGTCGTCATATTCTATCCCTCTCAAATGATCATTGATAGTGACAAAACCAAATTAGTTTTCTTTTAATCGGACAGATCGTTTGCTGAGCGATTCTTTCGATGCGAGCAGTTATCTTACTCCGTTCGGGTGTGGGTTCTCTCTTTGCCCCCACCCACTGGATCCTATAAAATTCCTTCAAAATCCGGGCGACGAAAACACTCTCGGATCTTTCCGGTTGGATATGATCGGACTCCGCTGGAAACCAAAATAAATTCAACGAAAAACTCAGTTATAAGGATCCGTGAATAGTTTTGCCAGCCAAATTCCTATCGGATTTATTCACCTGAGCTTATTATAAAAGAACTACATACAATATTGTGTTATATTTCAATCTGAATTTAGAGAAAAAAACATATTATATTTCGAATTGAAAGTAGGGAACTAGAGGAACTAAAAAAATCGTCTGTTAAATTCGCTACTTCAAGTCTGCAATCCAACCCTTATATTCAGCTGGAGAACTAAGAGACTAAAGACACTACGGGGACTGAAGATACTATCAGAAACAACGAAGACTCCTAACATTCAAAGGAATAAGAGGACGTCATTGATAAATACCGGGACTTTATTAGAATATCAGAACTTTCAAGAACTCATACACATTTTAATTTCTTTGCGCAGGAAATCCATTCTATCTTGTACTAAATAATTTTGTCTTCGATAAAAATAATTGTTTTAATTCTGATCATGAAGAGTGTACTTATATACACTGTCGATTATCATAAAATAGCAACAAATTAATTTTGAAAGCTCCTTAGTCATCTTAGTCCCCCGTAGGACTTGAAAGGTGATGAGGGCAATAGCTGACTGAGGGTAGTTTCATTTGATTTAAACCAAGTAGTCGATGCGTAGGAAACGTAGGGTTTTTTTGTCTATTAATTATGAAGAATGTTGACTTTTTAGTTTCTCTAACTTCTCGTTCTATATATATTATGAATGTCAATTTTTGTCTAAAATTCAATTTGAAATATAGAGATCATAGACTCACGAAATAATAATCAATGTGATCCCTCTCATTTCATTTCGAGCAGCTAATTTGGTCGATTAGCGAAGATATTTTTTACTTCGTAGCTTAGAACTGATTTTCATTCGATCTTTTAGGAAACCCGATCTAAAAACGAGTGTTGAAGTATAGGGGTTAGAGACTGTTGAATAGACCTGTATCTGCTCGAATCCGGATCTCAGATTTTTGAATTCACTTAACTCTACTTAGGGGTAAAGTACAATTCTAACTCGATTATTATGAGATTATCGGCAATATTGCCTGAGAGATCTATGGAATGTGCTAGTTATACAAAGAAACAAGCGAGAAAAAGGAAGAACTTCGTATTTAAGAGACGACTATGTGATTCAAATATTAAAAAGATTTCTTTCAAAGTAATAAGAGTATAGTAAAGGTTCAGGTGCAAAAATTCTGGACGTCATGAGCTCTAAGACAGGTAAAAATATCAGATCCGCTCTTTCACCACCTCAACGATGAACATAACAGACAAATATGTAAGACCAACATTCACTGAAACATCTTTCATCATCGACATCCATTAGCAGTTGACAAAAGTTTATAAATCGAAACTCATCTTAATTAATTCCTCTTAAAAAATACCAACAGTACCATATTTCATATTTTAACCTTGTAGTAATTGAGCTCACAGCTTCTTCAAAGCATATCTACATTGTGATGTAAAACTTACACTTTTCACGCTCTCTGCTTATTCATTTCAAGGGACGATTTGGGTTGACAAAAGAAAAATTTGTTTTTTTTTAGAATCATCTTTGCAATATTCATATCAGAATTGGAAACTTTATACTTACTTGCTTATGCATTTCATGTATCAGCTTCCCCTAAAGAATGAAAATTGTTTTTCTCTCAATCCATCAAAGTTACTGTAACGTGAATCGTTTCAACGCATATATGTGTTTCTACTTGTGTAGTAACTGGCAATTGCCTTTCCTCTCTACTACTTTACTTCAAATGATTACTTGCAATGAAGTAAGAAAACTCGTTTTCTCTCGATCACGCAAAGCATCTGTTCAATGCATCTATGATTTTCATACGCAGTAACTAAAAGTCATGATTCTTTATTTCAAATGAACATTCTATCAACGAAGGAAAGAAATACTAGAGCAGCTGCTGAGCGGAGATCTTCCGTTCAGCTATGATATTTATAGGTAGTATCGATAAATCATAATTCTCTATTTCAAAGAGGGCTGGACAAAACTTCGATCGGTGAGAAAAATGCTGCTTTTTCACAGAAGATAGGATCAAGAATTCATGTCATTAACTTTGACTTCTATAGTAATAAAGCGGAAAAATAAACATGTTCATACCTTCAAATTAATTCACAATTATTTGAATATTTTCCAATAAAAAAATCAATTGAAAATTTACCTTTATAAAACTTAAATGAAATCGAGATAATCTACAGATTCAATAAACAACAGTTGTCTTCTTACAAAATCAAAATATTTCTATAAAATAAAATATAGATACGATATTATATTTTCTATGTTATATCAACACATCTTATTTTATAAAGTGACTAAATTTTCTCTTTTTTCAAAAAAAATAATTCATAAGAGAAAAACATCAATCCTTTTTATTAGTTTCTCTGGATATTTTTCTTTAAAAAGAATTATTTGTTTCTTCTCCAGAGAAATGCTATTGTTTAGTAATTAGTAATAATACAAAAACAATTCTGTATTTTTTTCAATTTCCTTGGAAACAAGTTTTTTTGTTTAATGAAAAGAAAAACAAACTTTTTGAAAAACTATATGTTAATATTTGATTTCTTTTCTATCTGTTCTTTGTTGACAAAACTCTTTTTAATCCGATAAAAATCTATTCTGTTTATTTAGATTAGGAATATTTGCTGAAAATAACTGTAGATTTATTTCTTTTCAATATATAGATTAATATATTTTCTTACTTCATCTGAGTACATTTTTATTTACTCTTTAACAAACTAAAATTCTTTCAACACTAAATAAGGATTTTTTAGACATTGATACAATTGCCTTGAAATGATGTTTTCTTCTTGATGCGGATATTTCTATGTTAACTAATCATTAGATAATATTTCATAAATTTCCATCTGTTTTTAAATCATTTTTACAACAAATCAATTTCACCTCTCTAATATATTGACTTAATAAAGCATTCAAATGAAATAAAAACTTAAAATTATATAAATCTAATAAAATACTTTTACCAATGATCAATATGCTAAAGTAATAAAATAATACTGTAGTTTATCTTAATGAATATAATAGAATGATTTGATATATTATTGATGAATGTTGATTTAATAACTATTCATATTTCGAAAAATTTAACATCTTCTCTCTTCAAAATCGACTTCGTTTATGGTGTAACTTGAAGGTGGATGGGAGTGACGATGAAGTGTGTATGTGGGTTTTGTTATGTTATCTATACCCAAATTCACATCCACACCCTCAGAAAAACTTACTCATTTTTGTTATAAAACATAAATTTTTCATGTGATTCAGTTGTTTGGTATATCATGTGTAATCATATTAGTTGATATGATTTTTAACATAAAAGGGAAATATTATTTTCTACCTGATAAAAATATTTTTAATATATTTTCGTATTTGAAATAAAAAATGTAAAATTATTACAATTTCTTTTTAGATTTATACAATCATATTTCATTTTATCAAAAGAAAAAATAAAGAATAGCAGAAACATATCGATATGATAGTATAAAAATAGATTTATTTCATTTTTGTTTGTTTGTTGATCCTATGAAAAATAACTCAATAGTCAAATATAAAACCCCAATTCTTGTCAGAGTATTAGCTCATATTTTTCCTGCAGAAATTAAAAATAATTCGTTTATTCTTTTGGATCCATGATGATTTAATTGAAAAGTTTATATCGCATTTTTCTAAGTAATATAAAACAATATTTTCGAATACTTAGAAAATCATTCAGCTTATCTGAAAAAGTCTTTCTCAGTTTTTAACGTCTCGAATTTATTACTGAGAAGTATGTATTTGCTCTGAATGATGATTTTAATAGATTAATATCGAAAAACTCATAACACTTTTCTGTTGAAATAATTTCTTATTTTCTTATACATAGCCCTCACGAATATATACTAATATTTTTTCAAATAAAAACTAATGTTCATTGATTTTCAGAAATAGAATTTTCTCTCGGTATAAGATCTATATACACTTTTATAAATGATTTAACATAATAGATTCTTAGCTGAGAATTGTAGTTTTCTTTTCAAAGTTTACACATATATTGATAGTAACCAAATGATGCGTACGAGACTAAGTCTTATGCTACTGTTCCAACATTTCTTTACTATAGGTAATAAATTATCGACAATGATCAGTTTTGAAGACATTATTTTCATACTATATTCATGTTCATATCAGCCATAAACGCCAACGTGTCAAATAATATATCTAGAGTAAATCTCATATTATACTTTTCAAATTTTATGTAATTATTTTTAATATTATTCTTAAGTAA